ATCTTTCTCTTGATTTTTCCAATTTAAAACGAACTGATTTTAAATAAAGGAAATCAGAAAAATCAAACAAAAATCGAAAACATCAGATTTCAACTGTTTCATCATAAATTGATATTTTGGAGAACAGATTAAAAATTTTATCATTTTCATTGATTTTTCTGATGTTTTTGATTTTTTTTGAGTTGAATCAAAAAAATCAGCTTTTCCCACCTAGCATACACCCACATCTATACCCACACCCAAAATTCAGTTATCTGATGTACGTTGTGATAAATTGGTGATGAACAAGGAGTGAAATAAATAGAAATCGTTTTCTCAGCAGAATATTCAAATTTTAAATTTAGCCGCCGCATAAAAACTTATAAATATCAGCTGCCGCCGCCACCACCGAGTAAAAACATTTAAACCATTGTAGCCACCGCCGCTGAGGTGCTTACTAAGTGATACCATCAGCCGCCGCCGCCGTTCAACTCTCCGGCTTACACCTCTATGTATACTACTATTTACTGATTGTTCTCCTACTTACTCTCCATTAACTTCACATATAACATATGTTTTTTTCTTCTCCACCTTCAGAGTTTTGAGGAGTGAAGGAAAAAGCTCTATGAATATTATCGACAGAAAAACTTTGCAAAATGTTGACTTACTCTTTCAAAATCAAGTCCAATATTAACAACTTTTATTTGATGTTTACTCATTAAATTTCGTAATTCTCGTGCAGAATTTTTCACCAATGTTTTTTCTCCGAAAAATCTGATCTTCATTTCAGTTTGTAATGGATGTTTACTATATATAATCAAGAACTGTTTCCGTTGCTGTTGCTCATGTTTTTTATCATCAAGAAATTGCTCTAGTTCTTTTCGATAATTTGTTTGTAAATTGTCAAAATTCATTACTGATATTTGACCCTCGAATGATATATCATCTTGTAGAATTGGATAAATATGTTTCTCTTTTAAACTAAATTCGCATCCATGCGTAAAATAATGAACTATGTAATGACCAAATACAAGATCATCTTTTTCCCATATAGTAAATGCTTTTTTATTATCAAACACTTGTTGTATAATTGCAACAGCCGAATCAGAATGAATATGCGTCGACCAGTGGATGACTAAATAATGAAAAGTTTAAGATATCAATTAAATTTTAAGAGTTTTACTAAGTTTTTAGATAGAAAAATAATAAGTATACCAGAAGTAATACATTCCAATGATGTTCTCGACATATTTTCAGCTTTCATGTTTTCAAAAACAAAATTCACAACTCATCTCTCTATAAAACGAGACACCAAAAAACGACTTTGAAAATTTCTAGCAAATTCAAAACTATTTTTATGCTTTGCGTATTCACATGACATCCATAGAAAGATTTATAAAGGATTTAGAAAACTTAATCAAGAGTTTCATGTTGATTCACAACACATGTAAAGAAACGTCAGTTTCGTTAGAATTCTCAAAACACTTCTTACGCCACTTATCGCGCAATATTTTCGAAAACAGTAAAAGGCTTTGTTGAGATATCAGCAACAATTTTCTATCTACTAATACCAAGAGAAAACTTCAGAAACAACTTCACAGCGGAAGACTATGAGTATGTAAGTGTTAGCATGGATGCCAATGTGTACATCAATACCGGTGTGAGTATCTGATTGACTCCCGATATTTTTTCTCGCAATCACCGAAAAAACCTGAAGATTTTCTGACCCGATGTATTGCTTTGATGTTTGAGTAATTTCAAGCATTGTCCTGCCTAACCACCCCCTATAATCTCATCTGCGAAATATTTTCTGCTGAAAGAACACACGTCTTGACATTTTCACGGAATATTTTTTATAGGATTTACTGCAGAAACTAATAATCTGTCGTTTTTGTAACTAAGGAGAACCTTTTGTACATTGCAAGTTGAAAAAAAAAATATTAGTCGTGGAAGTTTAATCTACTTTAACTAGGAAAGCATTGGATTATTGTAGTGTAGGGAATCGTAACCGCATAATTTTAGGTGTACAACCTTTTATGTATGGACAAAAACCTCGTAGACTGCGATGTACTTAACATTTTCTTACTTTGTCGATCTTTTACTTCGTCGTTGAATATTTTAGCTTGAACCGTTTCAAATAGCGAATGTATATAATCATGAGCATCGTTCACACGCATCTTTTCACCCGATAATCTTATTTGAAGCTCAGTTTCATCATTTTGTCGTTCAACCGAAGGCACACGACAAATGACGTTGTACTGTTTCAAAATATGCTCTTGTAGATTTGAACAAAATGATTGGCTTTTGAAAAATTTTAAATTTAGATGCATTGGTTGAATCGAATATTTTTTCTTATATGATCTTGATTCTGAACTTTTTGAATGGCTTAATTTTGATTGCATTTGCGATGCGTTTGTCCAGCTAAAGATTCAAATTAATTTCTTTTCTTCTTTGAAAATTCTTAACTCAACAAGCAGGCACCACTCACTCTGGTTCGATCAAATTCTTGCCGTCATTTAAGAATGTAGAACTATTGATATTTGGAACTTGTGATGAGGCAGCCAATGAGTAATCAACTTGAGATCTGAAGAATATTACAAGTTTTCTGTTTATATGTCAATTTGCACAATTGAAGCTAGGTGAAACTGTTCTTTTTGGTTCGTTTTGACCAGTCATATTCGAACCACTAGTACTGAACAAGGAGCAAATCGGAAGTTTCTAATCAGGTTTAGCTTCTTTCAGTTGTAAAATTCGTGAGGGATTTATTTTTTTCGACAGAAGAGGAAGGGCTAAACTCTCCCGAGAGACTTTTCAGCGCCCTCGAAAAAGGCTTCCAAACATGTGCTTTTGAACCAGACAGGGTTCAGCCCTGTCTCTTCCAGCCCAAAATTCTAGCTCAGCAGCTATTTGTGCCGACAGTATTGCAAATCTTTTCGAAAACTGCATTCATGCATATCTATAATCATCCGTACTCAGTAGCTTTTGATTAGTGATAGTTGGTGACAACCATCTTTAGACTTATTCACCAATCGGCACCGCATAGAACAATCGGGTATCAATTTACCGAACGGTTGGTTCGGTCTGATAGAATTAAATCGATAAAAGATAATTGACTTTTCTCTGATCTTACATTTTCCAATTCATTGTAGTCAAACTACTTCGTAGCAGAGAATAGATTACACACATATGCAACATACTCTTGATAAGAAAAACAGAATGTTCACGACAGAATAAAACGAAGTCTACTCGATTTTTTGATGAATCAGTAAAATGCTATCAGAATGGATTTTAAGTGTGTCACTGAAAAAAAAAGATATGAGTGATGCAGAGTAGGTACTTACAGAGATTTTATTAAGTTCTTCTTAGTTTTCCTTCGTTCTTCTCTAACCATTTTCTTCCATTCTTTGAATATATTTTGAAATCGAAGAAGTTTTTTTTCTTTCGGCTTTTTCGTAGTTCCATTCTCATCCCAAATCGATAACAATTTTAGAATATCGTCATCATTAAGACCCATTAGAGCTTGCCCATCTATATCTTCATCTAAAGTAACAAAAAACTAGAAAACACTCAAAGTAAAATCGACTTTGGAACCTTGAAACGTCTGTATGTGCTTTCTGAAACCATTTTCTCTTAACCATTGAGAAACTTCATTCACTGTCCAGTTAGCCATTACTTAATCTAAAAGTGAAATACTATGAATCGTTATAACGAAAGAAAAGTGTGCTGCTTGTATCTAATACATTTCATTAAATCGAACCGGTGGACATTTCCATATTAAGTAATACTTTTAGAGTTTACGGAACATAAAGTGTTGATTATTAATCTATCACACATTTTGGAGTTTTATTTTTGAAACTAGGTGGGTGGGAGTGTTTTTGACGAGATAACACGATCACCGCTGGTCTTGTGTACTCGACGCTGAAGCTATGTTAGAACTGCACCGAAGTTTGAGACTGGTCACTGAAGTACAGTTTTCGAAAAGTGGGTGCTTGTACAGAAACGCTTTTGGTAGTCAAGACCTCAGTTACATCAGTGAAACAGTCCAATATTTGTTTTTTAGTTTCACATAGCGCCAAGATTGGTTTTGTGTTAATTAACAAGCATATCCATGGACTCATAGACTGATAGGTTTAAAGGAAGAAAGGCGTTAGCACAGTGAAAAAAAGACGTATCCTACGAAACCACACAATGATTTCGTATGCACTACGAAATTAAAAAAGAGTTTCGATTTTTTGTTGCAAAGATGTTTCCCAGCAATGCCTTTTTTTCAGAGTGGAACCTTTACAGAAACATGTACGCAACGCATGCAGAGATGTAATTGATTGCCGAGAAAAAAAGATAATCAGAGCTACTTTCGCATTCCATTTTTAAGTACAGGAATGTATCTGATATTGCGCTTTTTAGCATTGTATTGAATATAGCGTTGTTTGTACAGTGTTTTGCTTACCTTTTTATACGGAAGTTTTATGCATTCGCGTTTCCAGGAACACATAAAATTGAAGCGAGCATATGAGTACGAGTACAACTTCCATGTGGCATTCCTAGAAACGTAGATGCCGAATATTTTCGCATAAAAAGATAAGCAAACAGCTGTACAGGTATGGCAATATTGAATACAATGCTTAAAAAACAATGCGAAATATATTTCCATTCCTAAAGAGATGGGATGCTAGCATCTCTAATTTGGAGTCTGGAGTACAATAGCAAAAGTCTGTAGTCGTCGTCGGATTTTGGAGTTAAATGTTTGTCTGTTCATCACTCTAGTTCTTTATTTCACGCTAAGTCCATGGTATAATACTTTCACGAAATACCAAAGTGTCCGAATACACTTGAAGTTCCTTCTGCATACTTCAAGTTACCTATACACATTTCACATTACTTGTGTGCTCTAATGTGGCGTGCAACTTAGTGCAAGCTTGTTTTCTGCTTAGATCACTGTGCCAATACTTACTTTCTATCATCAAGCATACAATGTGTCCGGTCTGTGTCTTTTGATAATATGCTAATTCCACTGTGCGTATGTATTAGAGCTCAGACTGGGCTGAGCTTGATCCAGCTCGGCTCATGGGCCAAATGTTTTCGAATAAAAACCTATGGGCTGGCCTGAACCAATCGAATTTATGTATGGGTGCCCCTTAACTGAGTTTTGAAACAAAATATTTTAAAAAATTCGAACGCTCTCACGCTGTCTCACTCAATGTCTTTCGAAAATTGCACGGATTTGGTATATTTTTCCTGCTGTAACCTCTATAAAATCGACAACAAGTAAAAGTACAATGCAGAAGAGAGAAGGCAATATTGCTGTTGCTTAGCTTTTCTCATTCATCATCAACTCCCTCATCATCAATTATTACCGATACTGATGTTTTTCAGCTGCTGATTTCTACTATCTTCCACTATTCTAATGCTACTGGTTCATCGCTGAATATAGAACAAGATTCATCCCAATTGTTCTGCTTCTTTTTGCAACAGTAATTGTAAGAGTTGCTCAGTATTCGTTAAAAAGATTTTCGCCAACCTAATGAACAGAAGTTTGAACAAACCTGTTTGAATGCTCAAAAGTGAGCCACAATCGTGAACCATTAGTAATCTTTACGAGACGCGAAAAAGTCTGTTTTGTGCAAAAATTGTACTTTTAGAGCTTGAAAACTCTGAAAAACTTCTCTTTTATGAGTACTGAAAATCTGTCCCATTGCAGAGTTAAAATCAATATGTTTTAGCTCTCAAAAGCAGATGAGTTTGCTATTTCCACGCTTTCGAAGTAAAATTTTTGCGTGAAGCAGACATTTCTTGAGTGTTTTAATATTCGTTAATAGCTCAAAATCGTGGTTCCACTTTGAACGTTTAATTGCAATTTCCAAAACTTTTATCTCGTTAGATAGTACGTCATCTTCGCTTTCGTCTATTAGTAGAAGTTCAAAAGACTTTAGTCAATATATTTCTGGACTTAAACGCCTGAACTAAAATTTTATAGCAGAATTGGTATACCCTAAATTAGGGAATCTCAACGTTAGCAAACAATAATAAATATCCCCGATTTAAATCGAAAAAAATACTATTTGCGAAAAATTTAATTGGGTTACCGGAACTTCACCAATAAGACTTTCGCCAACTGTCATGAAACAATATTAACATAGAATATATGTGAGTCTAATTCACAATACCATTGACAAAATGTTAGGAGAAATGTTGGCGAAAGTGCTATTTGGCGAAAGTCTCATTGGCGAAGTTCCAGAATCCCATTTACTTCAGATGTATAGCCCA